GTTTTGTGGTTTCATGATTTTACACTTAATGCTGAGAAGTTGTTTCGTCTCTCTCTCTCTTGCGTAGTCAGTGCAGTCAAACAGTTGAAATCATTAGCGTTATTATCTCTATCACTATATATCTCATGGCAACTAGACATATTAACACACAGTAAAAGGTTTATTTATTTATCAGAATGCAGCTTTTCCTTCGCACTAGCAGTGGAACTGAATAAAGCCGAAAAATAGTCACATGGTTAAAGAATTCACAACATACATAAGTGTGTTATACTATACCTGAAGACATTTGCCTGCTGTTTGTCACTGCTAATAAACACTCTTCAAAAATGATACAACAAGCCCATTGGTAAAGTAAACTACGTGCAGAAGGAGCATAAAAGTCAAACAATTATGTTCGATCATGAAATCAGGACACCTGAATTGCATAAAATAATAATATAAATTGAAAGTAGCTACTGCCTTCATTAATGTAGACAGCACTTTTTCAGCCATAGGAGGCTCTGTTGAGGATATCGGTAGCCCGAATTTCACAGGCCGACCATAGATATCATGTGTGCGTCGGCAGGTGATCGAATCTCGGACCATGTGCATGGTCGGTGAGAGTCCTAACCACTGTGCCACCGACGCACACCAATGTTAAGTCACTTCTTCCATAATGGTCAGAAACTTGACGCATCATGCAAAGTACTTCTGATAGGCTTGAGAATTTTACCAACAGATGCCTTCACCGTATTCTGAAAATCGGATAGCTAGAATGAATTAGCGACAAGAAACTCTAGGAATGAAGCAATCAAGAACCTACTCGCCAACAATTATGCTGAAGAAATCGGAGATGGATCGAACAAATGCTGAGGATATCGTCCGGTAACATCTCACTCCAGGCCTTCGAGTAGAACCTAAGTGAGAAATAAAGAAGTGGACATTCGAAGGTGACACGGAAGAGATAATGTGAGGAGAAGATGAAGGCCTATAGCCAATCGTAGGGCCAGCTGGAGAGGACTTCAGAGATCAGGACAAAGTGCAGACGGGTTGTTCAAGCCCTACATTACAAATGGAACCTATGGGATTATAATTAAGAATAGTAATAACATAAATTGACGTTTCACATCCTGTAAGTGTGATACTTAAGTAATGTCTTTTTAAAATTAATGAACCACTTCAAGTTAAGTGGTAAAGACAATTCGCACACTAAAAGAAAAGGTTTTCAATTCATTTTAGTGTACCATAAACTAAATAGATAAAGTTAAATTTAAATTGACTTGATTAGAGAGAGAGATTTGTTAAAATATGAGTATACGATCGCTTTTTCTCCAATGGATTAAATTGAAAAATTAGACAGATATCCGTTCAAGTCATTTAAGAATTTCTAAAATAAAGAAAAAGTGAAATTAAGATGATGAATTAAGACTTCTTTTTAATTTTTTTATATATGCGAGAATGTAATCTACTAAACAGCTGCAAGTCTAATTTTTTTCAAAATTTTCTGAATGTCAGAATAATCTAGTATTTCTCTTTATTGATGCCGTGTATTGTTAATCAAATTACTCTAATCGCTGCAAAGCAACACTTGAAAATCGATCGAATGCTCACTAGTAACTGACTAAAAATACCTGAAGTCCTGGTGAAATGTCATGACCAGTCTCGTCAAACAAGTTGGGCGTCGGACAGGTATTCACTGATGACAATAGCTGGCGGTAACGCTAAATATCGCTAACTGGTAGAAATTAAAATTCATGCACTAATGGATTCGATCCCAATGGCAAAATACTAGATAAGCTCAATTTGTAACCTTAAGGTCCTGGGTTCAGTTTCTGGCAGAGTCATAAGAACATATTTTTTTAAATTTCAGCTTGATTCCACACAGTATTTTTGGTACAAGTATGGAATTTTCAGCATGTGATATCGGTAGCCCAAATTTTGCAGGCCGACCATAGATATCATGTGTGCGCCGGCAGGGGATCGAACCCCGGACCATGTGTATGGTCGGAGAGAGTCCTTACCGCTGTGCCACCGATGCTGAAGAGTCCCGAAGAAGGTGGAAACAACTTCCTACTACTCTCTGGCTTTAAACGGTTCTCTAAATGATATCAGTTCATAAATTAATTTGTAGTAGTTTTGATTAATTTCTGAAAAATTAAAAGGCTGTCATGGCTTTCCGATCAATGTTTAGGTTTTAGACCTGACTACGGAAACTACTTAAATGTATCACACATATCCCACTATTGATCTGTCCTGTGTAAATTATTAGTAGAACTAATACGAGCGCTAAACAAAACTTAGAATGATAAGGAATGTTGTTCAAATATAAACTCGTGATGATTTTAAGCTATTTTGTGAAGATTAGTTAGATAGAAGTGATTTAAATTCCCAGTACGAAAGACACGTATTTTTCATACTTATGAGGCGGAAGGATAATGTTGAATCGCTTGTATGAATAAAGCACTTGAATAAAAGAATTAATTCACTAATAGCACAATCTCTACTAAAGCACTATTGAATAAATAAAAGCATTTATTCCCTTTTATCAATTTGAACGAAGCAAGAACAACAGTTTGTGCAGACTAAGATGGTACCATCATCTATTTTGTTGGCTTCTCGTCAGCTGCTTACAGCCTAAAGAAATTATTAGGTTAATTTACAGAAAAGTTTTAACAAACTTGCAAATTTTACATGATGTCAGTTGACAGGAGGTTCCCAAATTAGTGAACAGTGCTCAGAAAATTACACATATATAGATTTTATATAAGGGGTTCAAATTTAAACAAAACCAATTTATGCATACAATGGTAAAGGAGTTATGTAATAAAGACGATAGGTGCGTAAACTAAATAATTTATATAGGGCTGTATGCATAAGATGAAAAGCCAACAAAATAACTGATGGTATCATCTTATTCTACACAAATTGTTATTCTTGTTTAATTCAAATTAACGAATTTGTTTTGGTGCCGTACGTCGATATTATTGTTTAAATATTCTATGGTATAAGATTACGAAATACGTTAGACATTTTAGAAGCATTTGAAAAGAAGCCCTGGACCTAAGTTTCGTAATCACTAGTAGCTAAAGTGAAGAATTATCCAATAACAAGGATTTTTGACTGAAATTATAGGTATTTAGGCCATATTAGTCAATGAGTTGAAATTTTCTTTGAAAAATGTTTCAGTATCACGTCAAGTTATTGTCGTGAACGTGCTTTTATCGAAAAGAGAGATAAGTAATTTTACTGGAAATCAGTATTCATAACGGATGAACTTTTTCTGAATTCATTTACATTTGGTTGGAGGATTACATCATGAGCTAATATGAGTTAGAGAACCATTGGAAAACCTCCAGGGAGTGCAGGACAGCAGTTTCGTCTTAGCTTTTAGCGACTCTTCAGCAGTGTGCACCCACACTGTGGAGTTTGAACCCAGTACCTTCTGGTTACAAGGCTAGCGAGCTCGTAGACCATTAAGCCACTGAGACCCAACCCAATGGCCAGCCTATGAATTCTAACTTCTGTCAATTCATCTGTTGTCCATGAACTCCAGGAAACATCAAATTGGTGGAGTTTTGGCAAAATAAAAGGACGGATTATAAATAAGTGGTAATTTTTCGTGAAGTTAACTAATGAAAAAGTGGCTTAGAATCTATACCTGTAGTAATAATTTCATTTGGATATTAAAACCATGGTAACAATCACTGTTTCACTTTCTACTTTAATGATGCTATTAATTTCTCATTTTTAATTTTCTGAACTGATTGTATGCTATTTTACATAGTGAAAGCTCATTCAGGTCCTTTTTTGGCGAAGTTAAACTTTCGACACCACTAACTGCCAATCAGCGAATTATCCAATGAGATTCACGAACGATGTCGAATTATCCAATGAGGTTCACGAACGCAGTTCAATGTTGTATAGCGCTTGATTCATTTCTAATGCGTGACCTTACAAGGCTGTTGTTGCAATTCGAGGAGGTTAGTGTTTCCCAGTATTTCCTAGATTTCAATTGCTCTGGAAAGAACATATTTGATTGTGTGGTGGTATCATGACTTTAAAAAGCTAAACCAAATCAACTGATGGGCTTGTTCATCGTTGTGCTATATGTTTGAAGCCTACTAACACTATAGAGGGTATGCTGATAATTTTATTATTTCGTAGGAACTTTTTTCGCTAGGTCGCTTCTCTCCCTAAGGACAGCAGATAGAAAAGCAACTACTCTTATACCTATTGTTACCAGAATTGTTAAGCGGGGGTCAATTATACACACGGAAAGGCTACAATTCGCTGTCATCTCTGGGATATATTCATCATAGAGACAAACATTCAAGTGATTTTGTGGATCCCGTTACGAGGACACATACAAATTCTAATGAAGGATTTTGGGGCAGGTTGGAAAATAGGATAAGGGCTATAAATGTATCTCAAAAGGATCTCATTTATAGTCATTTGGATGAATATATGTACAGGATATGGTGTAACTTCTCCATTGACAGTCCCATGCTAAACTGGGAGATTTTTCTCTCACATGTTCGAGAAAGATATCCCATGTAACCTTTTTTATTATCTCTTTTATGCTTTTTTCTATAAATATACATTTCCATTCATCATATATGCCTCTTTAATGTGATTGGTCCGTTCGAGGTCGTTTGCTGATTGGTTGTTAGTGGTGTCGAAAGTTTAACTTTGCCCTACATTAAAAGTCCTACGTATTAAATGCAATGAACATGGTGAAAAAACCACGCTGAAGCTCCAACAAGGTTTAGTGAATCCAAAAAGTAAGGGAAATTTATTCAAGTCACCTAGAAGCTGGATGAAATTGAAGCGCATTAGGATCAGACAAGTGGGCGAAAAAAAACAGTCACCTTCTTATATAATTTAGAGGAATAATAAGGCTTCAGTATCATAACTTCTAAGCATCATGAAAACATGCTTGAAAATTATAAAAAATCAGTTATATCCGAGAGCATTATGTATATATATGTATATATAAAGTTGGGAAAAGAATTAAAACTAACTTCATTATTTGATGTTCTTATAGTTATTATACACGGTTGATTCGATGCATGCGGTGAACTGGGTGCACGTGTATGTTTCATTTTGGAATGTATTGAATTGTGCAAATCATCCTCTGAAGCTTCTGTTAAACTATTTGCACACCGACGATATAATGATCGTAAACTGAATCCATGCAAAGAAGTACTATACGTCAATACCCAATCTAAACCTTCAGCATCAGCGATTAAATTTTGTAAAAGCTAGTGAAACAAAGATGAGTGCAATTCATTATTAATTTATAATGATAATATAAAAACAGTGTACACTTTGTTGTATTATAATAATAATATTAACTTTTTTTCTTTATTTTTCTTCTTTTTGATTTTTGATTACAGCTTGATTCCACACCGTATTTTTGGTACAAGTATCGAATTTTCAGCGTGGATATCGGTAGCCCAAAATTCGTAGGCCGACCATAGATATCAGGTGTGCGTCGGTGAGGGCTCGAATCCGGGACCATGTGCATGGTCGGCGAGAGTCCTAACCACTGTGCCACCGACGCAAATCAGAAAACAAAAATTATCGTGTAGTTTCCTTTCAAATCTTTGTTTACATTAATCTTCAATTTCTACTATGAAGAACGCATATTTTGTGTCTATGAAAGATAATGTCAGGTCACTTTTGTTTGAAAGGATTAAATCCTAGGCCTCATAATTCCTTTCAAAGCACTACTCGAGAAATGCAACCCATCATTAACAAATTTCTTTTCGTCTAGTAGGTTTATGTTGATGTATATATTTTATATGACATAAAAGTATGAAGTATGTTAGATGTTTGGAGGCCATCGCCCTAAAGTCCCCACCTGAGTTTCGTGATTGTCAGTACACGTCAGTAAGGGGTGTCTGCTACTTTGAAAGAACTCATTTCCCCTTACATTGTAAATTTGACCGATAGAATTCACTGTGCACAAATACCGAGGACTACACGTCTGACATTAGTTATATTATTATTCCCTAAGGTTCCGAGTGGAACTTAGGGTTTCAATAGCATATCTTTATTCTATCGTCTTCTCTGCAATCCTCTCTAGCTGGCTCCTCCTTACACCATTTCTCAAGGGCATGGCACGATTTCACTCGACGGTTTCTTCAATGTGTGTCTAATCTAGTCCAGTGCCATTCCCATAGGCATATCTGTTGAGCGCAGGTTCTTGGTTGGTCTACTGACAGAGTTCCACGTTGCTAATCCTTCTGGACGGCCATCTGACCTTAAGAATGGAGGCCAGCTAAGACAGCTGTTGATAAAAGTCCACAGTTTGTTAGAAACGCTTTTAATGATGCGCTGAATTTCCCTAACCACTGATTACACCCTAGTTACCGAAGTCTAAAAACAACTACTACTAATGCTCACACTGCTATTTGTCTTCATAGGTGTACTCTTAAACCCAGCACATGAATACTTACAAGCTTCTTTTTAATCAGTTATTTTAATGACATGAACCGATTATGTTTATGACTGAGTTAAGTTCTGTTTGCAATCAAACTTGAAAAGTTATCAAAATATCGACTAAGAGTATATCCTCATTTTTAAGCACTAAGATGTTTTGAAATCTGGAGTATTCTTTCTTATCTAAGCAAATATTTTTTATATTCTAGGCCGAGATTTACTAAGGAAAATTATAATTACAAAGCAACTTGACCTTACTCTATTTGCTGAGTTTGTACTTTTTCATTTTTATCAATCGATTCTCGCCTAAATCGGCTTTTAATGGAAAAGTTCAGCATTCACTAATTTTTGTGTAATGTTCATTCAGGCCACACTCACTACATGACATTATTTTTTGTTAAATCTAATAATATTTCTGTTTTATTTAATTTATTTGATGAATTAATAATTAACGAGAATTACAAAGATTCTCTTTTTTCTGCATGGACGTTCTAGGCAGAAAAAAGAGACAGGACAAACAGTGGCTCACTACGGACACTTGGAAACTAATAGAAGAGAGAAGGACAGTGAAACAAAAGATTATCCAGTGCACTGACGAGCAACAAAAACAGGAGCTGAATGCAAGCTACAATACACTGAACAAAAGAGTGAAGAAGAGTGCCAGGGAAGACAAAAGAAAATATTATGAAACCATGGCAAACGAAGCAGAACAAGCTGCAGGCAAAGGAGACCTCGCCACACTCTACCAAACAACTAGGAACCTTTCGGGCAAACGTTCGACACAGATTAAGCCAATAAAGGACGACAATGGAAAGTCAATCACCAAAGAGGTGGAACAGAGAAAGCACTGGGCTGAACACTTCAAAAGACTTCTAAATCGTCCGCCACCTACAACGCGCCCAACAATACCAACAACGGAAGCAGAACTACCAGTGAACACTGACCCCCCGACGAAATCAGAAGTCCTGAATGCAATCAAGATGCTAAAAGCTGGGAAAACACCAGGACCAGATGGAATCCCAGCAGAAGCTTTGAAAATAGACCCAGAGACAACAGCGGACTTGATGACGCCACTGCTGGAGAAGGTGTGGAAAGAGGGCAAAGTACCCGAGGATTGGAAGAAAGGATACTTATTCAAACTTCCAAAGAAAGGAGACTTAAGTCAATGTAAAAACTGGCGTGGAATTATGCTTCTGTCCATTCCAAGCAAGATACTAAGTCGCATCATCCTGGAGAGAATCAAACAAGCCCTAGATGAAAAACTTCGTCCGGAACAGGCCGGATTCAGGAGAAACAAATCATGTATTGATCAAATCGCCACTCTACGGATCATCATTGAACAAAGCTTGGAATGGCAGTCACCTCTCTATCTCAACTTCATCGACTTTGAAAAGGCCTTCGACAGCGTCGATCGAGAGGTCATTTGGAAACTACTTCGCTATCGACAATTATACATCTCATCCAACAGTTATACGACAATGCTGCATGCCAAGTAATCCACAACGGGAAACTTACGGAAGCCTTCGAAGTGAGGACGGGAGTGAGGCAAGGCTGTCTACTATCACCAATGATCTTCCTGATTGCAATTGATTGGATAATGCGACAGACAACGGCAACCAACGAGGGAACAGGCATAAAATGGACTGACACAAAAGACTTGGAGGATCTGGATTTCGCCGATGATATATGTCTGATTTCCCATAAACTGGAAGATATGCAAGTGAAAAGTAACAAGTTGGCAGAAGAAGCATCAAAGATAGGACTTCACGTGAACATAGATAAAACAGAGGTGATGAAGATTCCTAGCCAACATCAACAGCAGCAACAACAACAGACAACAATAAGCATAAATGGGAAGAACCTGAAAGAAACAACCTCCTTCACCTACCTGGGAAGCATCGTCTCAACTACAGGCGGAACTGACGAGGACATCAAAGCCAGAATCGGAAAAGCAAGACAAGCTTTCATTACTCTCAAATCTGTGTGGAGGTCAACAGCACTCAGCATCAAAAATAAGATCCGGATTTTCAACTCCAATGTGAAGTCAGTGCTACTATACGGATCAGAGACTTGGCGCGTCATAAAGAGCATCTCAAACAAACTTCAGACCTTCATTAACAGCTGTCTTCGCTCAATACTCAAGATCAGATGGCCAGAAAAGATCAGCAACAGGGATCTCTGGGAGCGAACCAATCAGGAACCGATTGTGAAACAAATAGGCAGGAAGAAATGGAGATGGATTGGCCATACGCTGAGGAAACCATCAAGTGACATCACTAGACAAGCCCTCGAGTGGAACCCGAAAGGGAGGCGGCGAGTTGGTCGTCCAAGGGTGACTTGGAGGAGGTCATGCGAGGAGGAGATGAAAGCATGTGGACAGACCTGGAGCGGGGTGAAAAAGTTGTCAGAAAACCGAAGGCAATGGAGGTGCGCAGCTGAAGCCCTATGTTCCTCTAGGAACTAAAGGATACAATAATAATAATAAATACAAAGATTCCAACAGAGTTTACTGATGTAGCCAAAAGCTTTCCCAGTAGTTATCTGGGACAACTTCAAGCGAATGGTGGCTTGGAATGAAATATCCTGCTTGATAGGAATTTTTCACTTACATCCCAATAGTTCTTATATTAATTGGCTAAATGGTCGAATGAGAGTTAACAGCACTGACAAAAAGTTTTGAGAATGTTAGGCAAACAAAACAACCTCACTAAAAAGTTGTATTTTGTCAGGGTTCTAATTCACAGTGAACTAATCGAAAATTGACTACTCACACCATTGAGCAATAGCCTGAAGCTATACAAATTAGTGTAAAATAAATGTTAACTGTATTTTATACACGGACTCTTCCAAAATGTAAAAAAACTACAATCTAGGGTGAAGGAAAAAATGCATTAGAAGTTTCGAAGGTTGGGAATTAGGTTGCGTATGCTCACCCCTATCCATCTTATATTCTATAGAGCAATTTGAATAAAACTGAAACAGTCGAAAGACAGAGAATTTATGACGCTTAGCAGTTTAGACCTCGATCGATAAGCAGTACCTTCAATGCCTAGTTGAAATCCCCGAGAAGGACATAATTTTCTTCACCAACAAGCACAAAACCTAAGTCCAGGGCTTCCTGCCAGTTTCCAGCAGCCGCCTAACATTCAGTTGACATCTATGAAGCAGACAGCATTCATAAGGAAAGAATTTATGGGGCAGAAATTGAAAATGGGTGAAGTGGAGCAATGTATTCAATTTTAATATTTTTTAAATGCCTGACTGTAATATCTGTCACCCAACCGCATTGTGATTTGTTCCAAGTTTTTCAATCTACTCCTATCATTGAAATTTCTTCTAAATGGTAATTGTATGAAGGTGTGCTTGAAGTTTGATGCTTAAAAACAGTATTCCTGACTGAAGATATAGAACTGTTAACAACATTACTTCGTGAGTAAATCAACTGGCGTCTGTTTTCCATGTTCCCCAAAATTTACCTCACAAATAAAGATATATTGTCTAGAAGAAGTTCTATCTATTACTTCAGTGAGAATCTGTTGTGGGGTAAGTGCAGGCGATATATTCAATTACTAATAAAGTGATATACACAATAATATTCAGCTGTATTGCACCATTAATCAAAATAAAAGAATTAAAACAAAGTGAATCAGTGATACAAACTTACATTACGAACTTTCTGAGCATCTAAGATTTCACTGTTAGATGTCGCCGGTGGTAATGGTAGCGACTCAGGTTCTGCTAGTTTTATACAATCAGACATAAATGCTCGTCTTCTCTCCTCTTGTTCTTTTAGTTCCATTTCCTTTGAACTAACCAACTATTCATTGTTAGTGAATAGAAATAAACAGCAGAAGACTTTAATAAATATTACTGGCTACTAATAAGTAGTTCATAGAAAAAGCAAACTCTGAATGTTGACTAATTCTTTTGAATTAAAAATTTTGGATTTGCAGAATCCAGACCCATTTATTGTAGAAGTTTTCCGAAAAATGGTTAACCATAATAGTCATGTTTATTCAACCGACTATTTAAAGATATATATATATATCCAAACCAAGTTCACTTTTAACAGTTAGAAAAATTTGGGCATTGGGTCCATATAAAAGACCAAATCCCAAAGATTCTCTATCTAAATATGTCTATAAAATAAAATGCTTGGAATGTGATGCGATATACATCGGTCAAACATCTCGCGAAATCACAATCAGAAGACATGAACACCGTAGAGCATCTGCTGGACCACCGAGAAATCCAGTTGGACTAGAAAAGCTTGGAAAATCATCAGCCATAGCTCGTCTACACGCTATAGAATCAAGCCACAAAATTGATTTTGACAATATTGAAATAAAAAAAAAACAAAAATTTCAGAAATCACAAAGAACGTCTAATATCAACAGAAGCACTTCACATCAAGTGGAATCCAAATTGTCTCAATAGAAATGCTGGAATAAAACAGGATTTGACCTGATTAAAACACCTCCCTCCCCCATGAAACGATAAAATCAACACGAATGTGATAAGTAATTTCATTATGTAAACACACGCTGCATTTATAATTTTACACACAGATCAAATCCAACAATATACACCTGGTTTTGTTATCTTTACCAATTGGCCAACTTGACAACGTAAAAATGACCCCATGCTAATGAACGATGATTAAGTTGTTATATATATATATAAGCTGAGATTTTGTAAATTCTGGTTTATTAATATTTGATAAAGCTATTAACAGCATTAAATGGTGAAACGTCAGTAAAGACAACAATATCGTTTTGTTTTCCATTCACTGGGAATTACAAAAAACTTTTATTACAATTACTATTAATATATTCCAAAAATTTCAGTCACTTGACTGTTATCGGAATATTTTAGTGACGATTACTGGAGCCCAGAGTCATATTTGGGAGTCGTCATCTAGATATACTGCATCTCAAGTAAGTGATGACTTTTTCATTGGGACTAGAACGCCTCATCCACTGTTTCAAACTTCAAGGCTGACAATAGGGCTCTCCCTCTTGTGAAATATGTCAACAGAGACCAGTGTCTTCAGTCCAATCAATCAATCGACGGGAAGTGCAAATTACCTCAAACAACCAGCGTCATTTCCTTAGGGATCAATAATAGTAAGACAGCGTTTTCCTGTGACAAGGTAAGATGTCTAGTGGGACATATTGAAAAATACTTTAAATCTCACCAGAAACTTCAGTATCTTGATTTACACTGATAAAAGCATCAGTAAAAAAGTACAATTACAATTATTGGGATAAAAATATATGAAACGGAGATATTAGTTTTTAATTTTCATAATATAGTAGAATATTTGTACCTCAGCACGAAAATGGATGGAATTTAGCCTATGAAGATAAAAGGGTTTCAAGACTTCATTTTATTTTGTCCCATTACACTCACCAATACTGCTAAGACTTGAAAAAAAAAGCGATGTCTGTTAGGTTTTGTGGTAGTTATTGTTGGTTGAGTACAATACACTCAAAACGTAAGAGAGTGAAGTTTGTTAAGTCAAAAAAAATCATTCGGATACTTTTATAGATTAATTCAAGTATTAGTTAGTTGATTAAAATAAAAAAGCACACCAAAAGAATTTTCATTTTTCTAGAAAAATGGAAAGAGAATCAAAACACCCTTACTTTCCTTCTTCTTTTAATACTATCCAGGACACTGATGAGAAAACGAGAAAATTTAACGAGATCGATAAATCACTCTCCGCAGGCAACAGGAGGTGGTTTAGTCTACTAGCTTATTTAACCTGTCCAAAGTAGGAAGGCTGGGCATGGGATTAGTGTGACCCTAACCCACGAAATCGATCCAGGCTCTACAGAAACTTCAAAGCTCAGGAGAATGTAATAATAATAATAATAACACTCAGGTTAACGTTCACAGGTGTAATATTCACATGATACATACCAGTGAAAATATATATCATCATTAATATTTATTCCGTTCCAATCCATTCCCAATGGGACGTAGGGCTTTAAGCTTTGAGCTTTTTAGTATTAGTAGCTGTGGTGATGCTTTTTTCTTATTTTAAGAGGTTGGGTCGGCAGCCTTACACCCAATATTATCTCTTTAATGGGCCACGTGTCAGGTAGGCTGAACCACTGACCTAGACAAGGATATAGGTTATTACAAGTCAAACGTGCAGAGCTTTCATCTCAGTATACTTGTAGAGGTAGAAGGGAGACAATCAATTACGGCTTGAGTTCCCTCAAGTAGTTGATTTTCTATTACCTGTTACAGGGATGCTGTAATCATATCATTTGGCGCTTCCAAAGATGCTATAACGACCTTTTTACACAGTTGGAGTATACATATAGTAGCATTTGCTATACTATGTGGAAAAATACCTCGTGATAGCTTTTGTCCTCACCTGTTATCTACTATGAGAGTTAGTTAAAATATGATGCGACTTAAATTCATATAATATTACAAATCAGCAGATGAAAATTGATTTGCTGACTTTCAGTAGGCAACCTGATTTCACACTGATTAATAATTGATTAGGTGTCAGTTATGTGTTACTGTGAAGACCACACCTTAAACCCTGAAAGTCAGATATACCTTGAATAACAATTAGTTGTCTAATTAGAAAGTTGAAGTTCATTGTCAACAAAATAAGTGGAAATAAAGCTCAATTATTACAGTAAAATGAGGGCATTACAAGTGTCAGAGATGGACCTTCACTTACTCATGAATAACACTCTTATTAAAAGTAAGGAAAATGTGATGAAGAGCTTTTTTGGTTGAGGATAAAAGCGATCGCAAATGTTTTCGCGCACAGTATAACAAACGTCACAATAAATATATATTCCAGCTGTGTAAAAACGTTGATAAAACACCTTTCACACAGACAAACATATTGTCGAATTTGATTACAGCATTCCTCTAAGCACGTAATACAAAATCATTTAAGACCAGCTGTCCAAGGAAATTCTAACCATGACTGATCGCCTCCGTTCTACCCAGACGAATAGGCTGGAACTTATTGACTCAATAGTTGTTTATTGCAGGATAAATGTGAATATCTCATCGGATTCAATCAGAACAGCTATACACCTTATACACCTGTATTCTATTTCACCAAACAGCCATTATTGTCATCATAATTGTTGTTGAGAATTAGTAGATTACCACTACATGGAGTGGGGCAACTCGAACTACTGCATATCTGTGCAAAGTCAAAGTCTTCAATCTATCAGATTAAAAGAAACAGAAGAATAAATTTATTTCTTGATGTAATCCTGTTATTATGGTAATCAAACCTCTACCTCAACTTTATAGACTTTGAAAAGGCCTTCGACAGCGTTGACCGCGAAGTAATTTGGAAACTACTCGAGTACTACAGCGTACCCTAAATATTCAACAACTTCATTCCACAGCTGTACGACAACGGCACATGTCAAGTGAGCCACAACGGAAAACTCAGCGAGGCGTTTGGAGTAAACACAGGAGTCAGACAAGGGTGCTTATTATCACCAATGAATGATATTCCTAATTGTGGTGGACTGGATTATGCGTCAGACAGTGGGAAACGAGAAGACAGGAATATCCTGGACCGACATGAAGGACCTAGAAGACCTGGATTTCGCGCGTGGATGATTTATGTTTGATGTCCCTGTCACAAAATCGAAGACTTACAAGCGAAAACCGACAAACTGGTCGAAGAAGCAGCTGGCGAAGACAGAACTCCAGGTGAACATAGACAAGATGGAGGTTATGGAAATAACCAACCAACAACAACAACAACAGCAGAAACATCCAGCCTCAATCAACATCAACTGGAGGGATTTGAAAGAGGTTATTTCATTCACTCACTTATCTAGGGAGCATTGTCTCAACTACAGGCAGTCGAAACGGACGAGAATGTCAAATCGAGCGAGAATCGGGAAGGCGAGCGAGAAACACATTCATCAACCAACTGAAACCAATCTGGAAATCTTCGTCCCTCAGCCAGCATCAACAACAAAATTCAGTCGGATTTTCAATACAAATGTCAAGTCAGTCAGTTCTTCTATACGGATCACAAACTTGGTGGGTCGGTCACAAAGAATATTTCCAACAGCCTGTTGCAGACCTTCATCAACAACTCTCTTCGCCCTATACTCAAGATCAGATGGATGTGTTGGAAACAATCACCAACAAGAAACTATGGGAACAAACAAACAAGATTGAGCCAATCGCCAACCAACAAATATGCAGGAGAAAGTGGAGGTCGATGAATTGGACACTCACTCGCTGAGGAGGCCGCTAGGTGACATTGCGCGCACCTCAGGCCATTGCTCGAGTAGAACGTGGAAGGAAAGCAGCGAGTGGGTCGTCAGTGCGAAGGTAACATGGAGGAAATCGTGTGAAGAGGAGTTGAAACAGTATGGACTAACATGGATGCATGTGAAAAGTACAGCAGCAGAAGACAGAAGCAAGTGGAGATGTGCAGTTGAAGCCCTATGTTCCACTAGGAACCCAAAGGAACAATAAATAAAAATAAAACCCTGTAATTAAACATCGAGAAGATTAAACAATTGGTGTTGTCAGTAGTGTGATACTGATCATCCAGTCTACTTTGATGGATTATTTAGGCGTACTTGTATTCTCTGAATGGTTCATTTCTGCGAAGCTTACATTCTCTTTCTATACAAGGTTTCTTGAGTTACGCAGACTTCAGTAGCAGGAGTGTTTGTTATCCGGGGATGGATTTGCTAGCCCCAAGCCAATCCTTCTCTCTTTTCCTGTCTTACTACTGACTAGGCGGGGTTTAGGAGCAAGTCGATCGGGAATCGAACTCGTACCATGTAGCTGGGTAAAGAGGATTCCACCTCGTTAACCACTATGATTTAACTCAATGAAAAGACTCTTCTGTAATAGCTGGCTCCCTGTTTAGGCACTTGGGTGGAACAAAATATTAAATGAAAGTGAAATGGACAGTGTACACTTTTTACAATGCCACACTTATTGATTCACTTTAAAATAATGACAGGATAAAAATCAATCTAACGACACAAAGTCATAATAAAAATATCTATATTTAACTTCATTATCGATTTAAAGTCTTTTAGTTGATGACTTTGACAGAATTGAAAGAAATACAGTTTTTTTTGACCATTTGTAAACTCAAAAGAAAAATTTTGTCCATAAGTTAAAACAGGTAACCAGCCCGTTCATATAAAGCATGTAAGAAATGAAATAAAAAGGGATATATAATTATTGTTAGTAGAACTCAAATTATATGTTGGTGAATGTTGATTTGTAGTTAAAAGTAACAGAAATAAGTACATTCTATACCTATCGAAAAGTTATATGCAAACAAAAACTCCATATTAGTTTGTTTATTAGGTGTATCACACAGTCAGTGAAACAGTATTATTATTTACCGGATGAAGTTTCGAATAAAATTTACTGTTCATAATCATATCAATTTTGATCACACGACTTTGAAATTTTAGTTTTATAGTTTTCTTTGTCCTCTCCTATTTGTCGTCGTCGGGGTAGTAGAATTTTCCAGATATCTCGCTGGACAGGTGTTGAATCATTTCTATTACATGTATTTGCAGTTGACTCGATAAACAAAGCTTCCACTGTCATCAATCTCTCCGTCCACCCTGTGACATTGGATTTTAAAACTGTCTTCCTATCCCATCCTATTGTATAGTTGTGTGTAACTGCATGTAGTGAGTGGTGTAGCTGAACTATTCTCTAGATTTCTTATCTTATTCGGGTCAACCAATCTAGATTTTGCTAGGTTTTTATGTTCAGCTAGTCTGACTGACCTAGTGCTACTAATTTGACCTATGTATTTGACCTGACAATCATCTCGGGCAGGGTATTAGATAAACTAAATTGTTTTGTTTTAAAGGCTCCACAGGATCCAATATTTAACCGAAAAAGCTTGTTTCTAATTGAGTTTGTGGTTGGTTTGAATGTCAGACACTTTTATTCCTGCCTTGTTAAGAGTTCTGCGCAAGGTTCCTGAGGTTCTTTCCTTGTATGGAATTACTGTTGATGATTTAGATTACTTATTGTTGGTGTCGTCATCAATATTGTTATTAATACTATTACTATTATTAATTTCATTATCATTGTTATCATTGTTATTATTATCACTATCGCTATTATCATTATTTATTTTATTTTTACATTTACTTACATATTTCCTGACTAGTTTATCAGGGTATTTATTAAGTTTCAAGGCTTCTTTTATGTGTATCACTTCCTGTCTTAGATTTTCCTTGGTGCTATTTAGTTTTTGTGCTCTATTATTTAAACCTTTCACTAATCCTATTTTTACTGACATAGGATGGGATGATCGGAGGTCCAATTATCTGTTTGAATGTGTGGGTTTCCTGTAAAAACTAGTGTTTAACTTCCCATCTTTTTTCCTTTTTACGTTGCAATCTAACATTGGAAGTTCCCCTTCCTGACTTTTCAATTCATAAGTGTATTGAAATGTCTCCACCTTTGACTTAATATGTTCGAAACATCTTTTTATATCTTGTGTTCTAAGTACAGTGAATGTGTCATCTAGATACCTCCACCATACTTTTGGGGTGGGGTGGACGTTTCAATTGCTATGTTTTCCCACATATCCATGAATATATCTGCTACAACCGGGGATATTGGTGATCCCATGGCAACTCCCTCAGTTTTGTTTGTATATTTTCCCTCGGAATTTAAATACTATGGAAATCAGGCATAGCTGCATTCCCAGCATTATATCCTCAAGTGACACTTTTGTCCTAAGTTCGAATTCTTGGTCAGAAATGAGTTCGTTTCTGACTGCCTCTATAGCCATATTTTTGGTATACGTGTATATAAACTGACAATGTCAATACTAATAACTTTTTCTTCATTATCTAATTTTAAATTATCTAATCTGTATTTTAGTTCATAAGAATTAGTTAGTCTAGATTTCGAGTGACTTTTTGGGTATTGAATGCCATGGCTAAATATTTAGATAATTCATAAGTAGGTGAATTTCTAAAATCGACTATAGGCCTAATAGGGTATCCTGACTTATGAACTTTAACAACACTTTAACAACACCAAACTATAAAACTCAAGTTTCAAAGTCGTGTGATTACAGTTGATATGATTATGAACAACAAATTTTGTTCAAAACGTCATCCAGTAAATAATAATACTGTTTCACACTGTGTAATACATCTAATAAACAAACCAATATGAAATTACTTACTACCACAGTGACCAAGTTTTACACATATATCAAAACAAAAACTCCCATTTATTAGAAATCATACTTAGATATTGATATCCCCTACAAATCTATAACCGATCATGGATCAGATGCCTTAGGCTAACTAACTGCTCTCAGTTCTTTTGTTTTGAAGTAAACTAAGAAATTGATTTCACTGAGCAGAGATTTAAAAGTTAGTTTTAACTCGAAATTGTCCATCGCTATGAAAACAAACACGAATCTTACATCTTGGCCTTTGTGTACACTAAGGCACATGTGTCCTTTTTAACGTCCCATCTGTTAGATTGCTATTCACACAGCCTTATTCAGCCGAAGCATTCACTTGGTATGCATACCTCGTCTGCACCCAAAAAAAATTATATGAGTGTGATGTCAGTAACCTAATTTAAAATGTTACAGGAAGCGGGGGAAATTTATTTGACTGGAAGAGATTGCTTTACAAAAAGATATCTTCCATGATAAAGCATTTTCAAAACATAAAGCCTAAATCTGTCAATGAGTAACAAAATCCGAAAGTTAAAAGTCTGCAAATTATTAAAATACTTTCAGTTTATAAAGAAGATGTGTGATATTTAGCGAAAACAGAAAATCAGTAAATATTGGTAAGTATTTCACACAGCAACACCATGGAATTATCTCCGTCACCAATATTTTCCATTTAATTTGTGTTTACAATCAACGCAGTAAAACAAAAAATCATTGAATGCGATGTATGTGCATAATTTGTGTTGTGTTGTGTGTGTGTGTGTGGGCGTAACCAATCTTACCAATTTGTTTAAATTCTCCCGTACAGAACGAAAAGAGGACTTTAACCACTGAACAGGATTTTGGGTTCACAAAATAAAAATATGTATAAATTACTCAGAAGCATATATAGAGATTGTTTCGGTGGAAAAAGATAGAAAAACCATATGCAAATACCTTATAAACAAGTTAAGTGTTAAATGAAATGAATGTTTTATTTTTAAGAGTTGATCCCGGATCGATATCAGCTAGAATCATTGAAAACCAGGGAGTACTGGACAGCTGCTGTTTCATCAGCCTAATTTGGCAATCATTGGCAGTACGCATTCACCGCCAGGGTTCAAACCCAGGACCCTCCGGTTACAAGGTGAGATAGTATACCATTCAGCCCCTGGGACCCGGTCCAATGGACAGCCCATGAATTCTAACTTCTACCAATTCGTGGTTTGGTGCGACCCCAGCCATTGCCGCTCTAAACCACGAATTGGTAGAAGTTAGAATTCATGGGCTGTCCATTGGACCGGGTCCCAGGGGCTGAATGGTATACTATCTCACCTTGTAACCGGAGGGTCCTGGGTTTGAACCCTGGCGGTGAATGCGTACTGCCAATGATTGCCAAATTAGGCTGATGAAACAGCAGCTGTCCAGTACTCCCTGGTTTTCAATGGTTTTCTAGCTGATATCAGTGCATGGTCAAACTCGTAAAAACAAATTTAATCCTTACAAAATAAACCATAGAATGTTTTGTCATTCACTGGGAGATTATTCCCAACTTATTAGAACATAGTACAAGTTTTCATTTGTTATATCGTCAAAATATTAGTCATTTTGTCGTTTTCATCTTAAAGGGTAGTTTATGCTGCGAATCCCACGAATGCATTCTGGATTCAGTCAGAGACTATGCAAGAGTGTAAACCAAGGCATTTAAAATACTTCTCAAGTAACGGAGCATTGCGGATGAGCTCTGTCTCAATCAAGCGGACATATGGTCGTGGCTAACACAAACACACTACTGGATGACTTAAGTAGTTTTCAAACTACTCATAAAAATCAGTAGCATAAACCAGCATGAGTTCAGTTGTACTGAGTCAGAGTAGGAAGTTTGACTACTCCTACTATTCTGCAGTGTTACGTCAGTCTCATTATTGAGATGTGAGTTGATTTACCTTCATGGTGGTCAATACTTTGTACTCAGATCCTAAAAGAAATTAACAGTAAATATATTTTTATAGTAGATTTAGTCACAAACGAATTTCAATTAGGTAATCATTAAAAACCGTAGGATACTAGGTAACTGTTACACCATAGTTTAGGACTCTTCAGCAGCAAGCACTTTTCCATGATCAGAGTTATGATAATTAACTAACTAATAAGAGACTGTCAATAAGGCGGTCTACCAAATCAGGTGTAGGCACAGTTCTTCACAAAAGATATTAGAAATCGAGATTTATGGCTGATCCGATTTCTATCCAGTGGCCAAACAGCAACTTTATTGCCTTGCAACTGAAGGCTCTGATTTTGGTCCATGTTGGGATCGAAATTCCTTTAGTGCTGAATAGGTCCACACTGAAACAAAACAGCTGTATAGTCCTTCCTGGTTTTAAATGATTGGAAAAATGATGTCAGTTGACAACGAAATAAACCTGAAAGCCAGTCAGTTAGTTATCCTTAAGGCGATAGTTGAATAACATTTTTAATGGCTTCTTCTAGGCGTTAATTAAAAAGTATGCCTTCTTTTTTTGAACTTGTCTCCGGTATTTAACGAAGTATCTAGTGACATGAGTTAGGTGAGGGAGATATCCAAAGAAAAAGAACTATTTGACTTGTGACAGTAATGAATAGGATTCTTCATATCTTATAATGTCAGGTGGTGATATGTCTAAACTACAATAAAAAATTGTGGACAATGTTCCCTGGATATTGGCCACAATCAAATTTAGACACGTTTTAAGATAAGTGGTTCGTTGGAGTTAAGAAAAAAACACTTTATTATTTTGTTGACTGGCTTTAGAACAAAGTTTATCAACAGCTGCTTTCGTTGGAATGATACTGAAGGTCAGATGGCCGATCAGGAAGGCTTAGCAACAAACGATTCTTTGAATGAACCCACCAGAAACCTATCAGCTAAAATATGCCGAAGGAAGCGAGGGTGCACTAGACACATCTTTGGAAGACCATTGAGTGCTATTTCGCGCCATGCCCGACAGTGGAACCCGAATAGATACAAGGAGTTGGCCGTGTATTTGATGGTGACATGGGGGAGGTTATGTGGGAGGGAGAGGTAAAAGCTTGTGGGTAATTGTGGATCCAGCTGAAAACGACTGCAGAAAACAGGATGAAGTGAAGATGGGCTGTTGAAGCTGGATGTCTCACTTGGAACTCAAGGGAACGACAATACTACTAAATTGACTTACTTACTTACTTAACTTCGGCTATCTCCTACGGGAGGATGAGCCGGCTTCATGAACCATGAAGTTTCATGGGAATTGGGTACGAGTGATGTCCCCAGCATCGCTCGGCCTTTGTTTGAGAGTGCAGCTCTAGCCTTTACACAACCAAGTGTGACCTACAAGGCAGTAGGAGTGGAGTAGGGAGTCCACTATCCATTGGCAGCCGGTGACCGGAGTCCAGTTCATTCGCCTTTTTGAATGGGGCCAGTCATCCAGGGCATCCAATAAGCCCTTTGTCCATACGTCTGCCGGTGAGCTTCATACGCCAATCGTTGGAGGTTTGGAATCAGGGTTCAGCCATCTCCCCTAGACTGTCATCCAATAGACAGTGAACCCGGTGAAGAGCGCCGGGCATCCGCTTTTGCCCTCTCACTTCGATGAAAAAACACCTCCGCCACGTGAAGGCAGTGAGTAGGACTTCCTCAGGAGAGGCTATGTAAGACGCCCGGTCATATGGGAGCATTTCAAGGGGTGTACGGAGGGGTGGCCAACCCGCAGCGCAAGACACCCACCCTCGACCATCCTGAGGCTTTGGCAGTAAACTTACTAATATATGCAAATTATTCTATGACTTCAGTTGTTTCTTGTTTTTTAAAGGTATGCCTGTGGTCAACAAGTGTAATAAACATTTAACCACACTGTACACAAACGGTAGAAGATGTGATCAGTCTAATACCACGAAGAAAACTGATCTTCAGTATTATTTGTTGTTAACAAAGAAACATTTATGTTTTTGTAGATTTTACCAGATAGTGGGCTGTCAGTCAGTCATAAGCAGTTAGCTGTTTTCTTGCACTTATAAGCGAATTAGTACTGATGATTACAGACCAAAACAATATCTTGAGCATATTTAAATTTCCATAAATTTTATACAAAATTGTCTACAACATTATGTGATGGGTAAAAACAACCAACGTACCTCCCAATCAATAGATTCTTCTTTTAGTATTCGTAAGGCAGACTTCTCCTCTTCCATTGATGGTACACTACGACATTCTCTTATCCTTTCATGACTTGATGTTGTAACTTTTAGAGAAGCACGATGTGGTGATTGTTGTGCTTTATTTGATTCCTTTGAATCCTCAGTAATTGCACTTCGCTCAGTGGAATTGCCATTATCAGTTACTGTTACCGAGAAGTCTTTAGAGCTTTGTACACGCTTTTGTTTATCATTTCTGAGGGTCATTAAAGCACGTGAACGATCATCTGAACAACCGATACGCGTAATATCCAATCAAATGTTTTTGGGACAACAACAAAATGATGATAATGACTGTGTCGTCGATGATTCGATTTTTGATTATGATTATGATGATGATGATGGAATAATTTATCAAATTTACTAAAATTATCGCTCTCCACATCACCCGAACACGGGGAACCAGTTGATTTTGGGCTGTTAAGGGATTTTTTAAGAAAACTTAGATTTCCTAGTGACTTTGAATGCAACGTTTCAATGTCCCTGTTCTTCATATTATCCTTATTTTTGCTATCAATACTTTTAATTGACACTTGACTACTTTCGATATCGGTGAAGTGTTCTTCAGTGTTTGAATCATCTTCATATCCATGAAATTGACAAGTCAAGAGAAAGTCGAATAGAATTTGCGCTCTAAATAATTTAAATGGATGAAAAACAAAAAAAACAAGCAAAAATTGAGGATTAATATTATTTCTAAAAGAGTTACTATGTTAAAGTTATGTAAAGTCAGTCTCTAAGATACCAGAGACTGTAATCAATGGGTAAGAGACCATTTAAAATTGAATAAAGGACTACTTTCATCGGTTTATTTAGTTAAAAAAATATTGGTAAGTCGTCTTCTGTGACTATGACAACAGCAAACATAAATGCAAAGGCTTTACCAGTTTAAGAAGAAATCCTTATGATGACAAGTAAAGTTCACAGATCATGATCACTGTCTGATTTCTACAGGTCTGAGATATATATATATATTATCAATCTTTGGTGCAGTTCAAATGGTTTACTTATGTACTGATACAGTCATACTTTACTGTTTGAATATCCTCTTTGAGATTCTTTTTTCTCCTATACATTTACGCGCCTCCAAAGCCTCAGGATGGTCGGGGGTGGGTGTCTTGCGCTGCGGGTTGGCCACCCCTCCGTACACCCCTTGAAATGCTCCCATATGACCGGGCGTCTTACATAGCCTCTCCTGAGGAAGTCCTACTCACTGCCTTCACGTGGCGGAGGTGTTTATTTCATCGAAGTGAGAGGGCAAAAGCGGATGCCCGGCGCTCTTCACCGGGTTCACTGTCTATTGGATGACAGTCTAGGGGAGATGGCTAAACCCTGATTCCAAACCTCCAACGATTGGCGTATGAAGCTCACCGGCAGACGTATGAACAAAGGGCTTATTGGATGCCCTGGATGACTGGCCCCATTCAAAAAGGCGAATGAACTGGACTCCGGTCACCGGCTGCCAATGGATAGTGGACTCCCTACTCCACTCCTACTGCCTTGTAGGTCACACTTGGTTGTGTAAAGGCTAGAGCTGCACTCTCAAACAAAAGGCTGAGCGATGCTGGGGACATCACTCGTACCCAATTCCCATGAAACTTCATCAACTCTCTTACAAGCATTCGAGATGTTCATGAAGCCGGTTCATCCTCCCGTAGGAGATAGCCGAAGTAAAGAAGATAAAGAAGCGCTTGTGTAATGTGGCAACATGAACTGCTGCAATTTTTTGCACAGTTCTGCGTTGAAACTACATTATGTTACATTATTAGCGAATTCTTATGTAGTTTGACAACTGTAGGAATAATATTTAGAAGTTAAATTATGAAGTGGACATTAAAAAAAAATAATTGGGAGAAAATGGAGATGTATTGGGCATACACTGAGTAGGCCATCGAATGACATCGCGTGCCAGGCCATGACTTAAGGGGAATCCCAATGGGAAGAGACGAGTGGGTTATCCTAGGGTGGCATGGAGGAGATCGTGTGGTGAGGAGGAGATGAGAAATTATGGGCAACCGTGGACCCAGCTGAAAAGGACGGTAGAAAATAGAAGAAAGTGGAGATTTGTGGTTGAAGCCCCATATTCCACTTGGAACCCGAGGGAGTAATAATAATAATAATAGTAATTCGATTTTTTCAAACAAACTGATACACATAAATGCTTATATTCCATAGCATTTGGTGATAAATGTGTAAGCTGAGCAGACTTATATTATTCTTTTCAATGCATTTTTTTCTATCCAGTTTCGATTTACAAAGGGCCAGTATTGCATGAAAGTAATTCCATGTTGATGCATTGGTGATTGAGCGATTCCCCACTGGTGCATTCCAAAATCTCGCTTGTCTGTTTTCGGCATAGAACTTCGCACCGATGTGCGGGAGTTCAAGTCGCCACACTCCCTCCTTGTAGCACCCAAAGCAAGAGAAGAAGGTAGAAGAAATGCATAATAGAGACAGGAAACAGAGGTGTGAAACAAGGGAATAATAATAACGAAGAACAATACAGTATCATTGGAAACCACAGCCTCGTCGCTTAGCCAGTAGTAAACCCGGTGAAGGAGGAAGGCTAGGCGTCAGGCTGGCAATCTCATTCCGTAAAAACACCGATGATACTGAAACTCCAAAGATCAAGCTTGAAGTCTTATGTTCCATTCGCAACGCAAGTCAATAAAAGAAACTAGAACACTCTATTTAAAAATAAATGTCAGTGAAAAATCCTAAAATAAATTTTAAAAAAAGAATCATCTGTTTGCCGTTAAGATAGATAATCGAAATATTTCTTTCTCCCACCCCCCCACCACCCAAAAAAAAATTCAGTGTTTCCTAATCATAAGTTTACACTCGACTAGTTTATCTACACGAACATTCTTTTTTGTCTTCTGAATCCCAAGAGTAATGTACCACATCCGCAAAACTGTTGCAAATTTTCAAAAGTATTCATGGCGGTGAATAAATAAGCGTTTCGTGTCCTCCGTCCCCCCCCCGAACTACCCGTCTATATTTTTCGTTCATAAAAATTCCACCTAAACACTATTTCTAAACCCAATTAAAAAACAACTCTTTCGAAACATTTCGGAAACTGAAAGTAGATTACATTGGTAAGCTTTTATTTTTCCTTTCACGTTCCCCAGTGAAACCTAGAGCTTCAAGCTAGTGACTTGAAGTTTCTCTAGCAGTGTTTAATTTTGCAGGATGGGGGTGCTAGCTCCATGCCCAACCTTTCCTCTTCACCAGCATTATTTCTGAATTAACGAGGTAAAGGAGTGCGTCTGCGGCCGGGGATCGAACCCCGGATCATGTGCATGGTTAGCGAGCGTCCTAACCGCTATGCCACATTGGTAAGCTAACAGCTTACAATTGTATTCTACCTTATTCAAGTTCACTGTGGATGACGGGGTGGTGTGTGAAACAACTAGGACTATGATATTTTCGAAAACTATTCTGGCATGAAATATTAATTGTACCGAGTTGGTTCACAGACATGATATATATATATATATATATGAAATCAATGACAAAAAACAGCAAAAGAAAATGAGTATTTACCTTGTCTCATGAAAGACAACAGTAACCTTAGACACAAAAACAAGGTATTTGACAGAAAACACAGAGAAATTATGCTGTTTCTGAAATAACATGCAATCTATGTTATATACATAATTTACTAGTAAGCTTTTTTTCCCATAAATTACTGCTAAGCAATTATAGGCTTCAGTGTCAAACTTATCTGTTTACATTATTCAATGGGGATGGAGAATTGTTCAAATATAGCTAATGAATTCAGTGCTCAACTAATTATGCTAATAAGTTGGTAGTCCTATATGAAGATATGTTGTTTCAGAATGAGAATACATCTGTTGATAGTAACATTACGCATAAAGAAGTTTTGTAAAATGTCTTTACTTTAAAACACAATGAACATTACAAAAAAGCTCATTAGTTTCGGATGACTGTCACAAGTGTCTGACACTTTCAACGAAGGCAAAACGTTTAAAGTTGATTACTGACTACAACTACACACCTCTGTATCTCGTCTAGGCGTTGGGTATCTATCTGTTCATTGAAAAATAAACATGATAAAGTCAAACAATACGGTGAGTTTCGAGGGATCAATAAAAGATAAAAGCAGCAACAACAACTCACTTTCCCTGTGGTATCAGAAACCAGTATTCCTCGGATTGAATAGTAAACCAGTGTGGATGTCTTCTATGCTTATTACTTCTCATTGAGTAAGGGGATACTAATACACATAAGTATAATGGATTTTCATCTAAAGGAATAAAACATGAAAACAAAACAAAATTATTATTTAATTATGTCCCCACGGCACACACATAATTATAGTTCATCGTGAGCTGACATTAGTTAGAGAACCATTGGAAAACCTGCTGGGAGTACTGGACAGCTACTTCGTCTTAGTTTGAGACTCCTCAGAAGTACGCACCCACCGGAGTACGAACCCAAGACCTTCTAGTTACAAGGCTAGCGAACTCGTAGACCATTAAGTCACTGGGACCCGATCCCATGGCTGGTGCATGAATTCTAACTTCTGCCAATTCACGACATGGTGACTTGCCCCACTCAGGTAAGTAGTTACCTGGGGTTCTAGTGAGAAGTCGTGACCAGTAGGGTGCAGCAGGTCGGGTGTGAGGACAAATACTCTCCGAAGACATGAATTGGCGGAAGGTAGAACTCATGGACTGGCCATTGAATCGGGTCTCAGTGGCTTAATGGTCTACGAGTTCGCTGGCCTTGTAACCAGAAGGTCCTGCGTTCAAACCCTGGCGTTGGGTGCTTACTGATGAAGAGTCCTAAACTAAACCGACGAAACAGCTTTCCAGTACTTCTTGGTGGTTTTCCAGTGGCTTTCTAACCGATGTCAGCACATGACGAAATTCTGTAACCAATCAAATCCCTACAAACCACCACTTGAATAATTATATTTATTTAGATATAGGTTGCTAGATTTAGATAAAGTAGCGTTCGGGAAAGTTGTAGACAGTAGAAAGATACTTCCATACAGTTTTTGTTACAGGTTAAAAAAGACATCCTTTCCTATCAGAAAATTGTGTGTATCCCTCATTTGATATAAATCTTCGTTTAACTCATCTGTCCAAGTTTTGAAAAGTACACTTTTGTAGGCGGGAAGTAAAATATACACGTGCTAGCTCTCACTGAGTGTTCTCTTCCTACTTGGCTGTCTGGTCGCCATTATACTTACTGGTTGGATTTTTTTAAACTTACAAGAAACTCACATCCTCTTCCAAAGAAGATTCAGCAACCAGTTCAGCAAATCTTCAGGGAAGAAATATCATTGGATTGTACCAATACATTTTTGAACAATTGACTGAGTAAGTCTAACGACTGATAACTCATTATTCCTAATAAGTGTAATTTATTGTCTGAGTATCATTTATTGTTTCGAGTTCATTTTGATAGTGATTATAATTACTGAGTCACGGAGTAAAACCATTGCAGGTAAAAGATAAACACAATAGACATTTCATGGAAATTAAAATATATATACACGTTAATCTTCATGAAATTGTTCTGTTTAACTTAAAATGCCTGACCATAAAGACGTTCAATGAGTCGTCATTTCATTCATTTAAACGAACACACACAGTCCCGATTTTATGATATTTTGTTGATTCAACATCACTTGTTCCAGAGTTCAGCTTCGGCAGACATATTCCTTAATTCCACCTAGCCGGTAGTAAGGCCAGAGAAAAGAGAGGATTGAGTGTGAGCCTAGTAACCTCACCCCACAAAAACAACACAGGAGGTACTGAAGTTTCAGAGTCCAAGTTTGATATTGCTGTCTTTAAACGCAATTTTCTTTTCTCACTTATATATATCATATTCTACCTGATCTACATTCATATAGTAAGCATAAGGTGATAATTAAGCCGTGTGCATTGTTTCTAGAAATGCCCTCTCTTTCAGGAAGTTATGATGTCCAGGGTTGTGAACAATTAAAGTAATAAAGCGAATCTAGAATGTAAGAAATGGTGAAATGATACAGAACACAAACTGAAAAAAAGTACGTCTATATTTCTTTATACACATCGGTTATCAGTTTTAAATAGAGTTATATAAGAGCTTTGTGATGATTTAAAATTTTTCAGTCACTTTATGAATTTGAATAAAGTAAAATCAACGGTATGTGTGGAATAAGATGATACCATCGTTTATTTCGTTGACTTCTCATCAACTGCCTATAGCCTAATGAAAGTATTAAGTTTATGTGCAGAACAGCCTTAACATACTTGCTAAGGTTACATGACATCAGTTGACAGCAGGCTACTAAATTAATAAACAGTGCTCAGAAAATTACATTCATATAGTTTATGCCCAGAGAGTTCAAGTTGGAGCAAAAACCAGTGCTTGCACACAGTGACAGAGGAGTTACGTAATAAGCACAAGAGGTGAGTAAGATGATGAGTTACTAATAAACTAAGTGACAAAACATTGAGTTCAAATCAACGCATAGAAACAGGAGACAAGTAGAGTTACACTATATCAAATGAAGGTGAGGTTAAAGCCAAAGATTACGTCATCAAATGAAAGAGAGAATAAAGAGATCAAGTTACCAGGGCAAGGGAAGACTTATAACTGCTTCTTTTTGAACACATAAATCGAGTTTCAGGAGTTTGCTTCGGCAAACTGGAGGGGAACTGAATTATCCTGTCTCTTGATAATCTTTAAGGATTTTACGGTGTCCACATCATGACCCTTATTGATGCGATGTCTGGCAATGGTACTGTTTCAGCTTTTTTCCCTTAAGACGAAGACCTTTGCTACATGTCCAGAAAAAACAGACGTATGGCCTTCTTTCTGTTCTTCCAATGCAACTGCTACCGCAATTACATGTAAATTTGTATACACAGTCAGAGTTAACATGAGAACGGTACCTGTCGACTTTTGATTGCACCAAAGAGCATGCTGCCGAATCAACTGGAACCAACTTAGCCTCAGAATAAGCTGTGGCTAGTAAGGAATTCAGTCTTTTGTTGGCTAATCGTCTATAAAATCACTTGATGCAGGCTTGGTTCATCATCTTTAATGCTAGTTCCGCTTGATTAAGCTAAACACTATACTCTTTGTGTGGGGAACATGTAAGATGTGATAAAATATGAACTCCTTCTACTGTACTCGATGGTGTCTGCTTAATCTCTTCATAGATATTATAGCATGATAACAGAATCTATCTACATTTGCATAGTATTCTTTCAGTTGATATCTAAATGGATTTCTAAAATAAATTACTTATCAGAGTAAGAGATCAGATTCACTTTTGTACTATCATTTTATCTTCTTACTGACTTTTAGTTATTCAGTTATATATGAACAGCAATATTCGTCGTGTTTACGCAGTTGCTCTAGTTGGAACCACTAGCTGTTTGATTTATTCTTGTTTTGTTTTTTTTAGTCTCTATCCTCTCTTTCATTTGTTCATATAAAAGTTGCTTTCAATATTGACTGGGATTTATAGCTTTCGTGTGTATTTTGTTTTGTAATTTATTCAATTTAATACTTCTGCTTTCTTTCAGGATAGCGGAAGTCAGTCTCATTCTACATGACTTAAGTTAATCGTGTGCATTTATTACTCTGAAATGCATCTTTTTAAGCTCAAGGCACTTAAGTCTAATAAAAAAAATGTATTCAAGTAAAAATTTAAATATAAAGAAAACGAATTCTTGTCTTCATATCTTCGTGTCTTCAGTTTTAGGAAATTTGAAGTATATTGAGAACTTATTAGATGGTTGAAAGCAAACAGCAGGAAGCCTTAGACCTAGATTTCATGCTAGTTGGCACTCATCAGTCAGCAGGACGTGTCTGCAACCTTGAAGGGACTAATATCCCTTCTGAGACTGGAACACACGTCACTTAGTGCTGCAGTCGTAAGCATTTCCACTAGGCCATTTGAGCTCACGATAGCAGCCTTGACAAATATAGAATTCAGTCTGGATCAAACAAAAGGACTAGGCATATTACACCAATTACTAACCAGTGTTCAATCAAAGTATTCTGAGAACTTGGATGGCTTAAATTTCAATGTAAATAGTTCTAAGATAAGTTAATAGAACACCAAACAAATATGGAACTCATATTTCTATTTGTGTGTTTACTATACGCTTCAAACTAAATATACATCAGCACTTGAGTGAATTATGTTAATCAGAAATCAACAAGTGCCATTTTCACAATGTACAGTTCCACAAGATGTACGCTGATAATCAAGAAGTAAAAGAACCCTTTCAAACAACTTTATTATCCTTCGGTTTCTTTAGTTTATGAATCACTTATCCAGTTTGCATAAAGTGATTTCTAACTTCTTTACGAGTTCAAAAAAACATATGGCGTCAAATAAAATAAATACACTCAGTGTCAACAGTCTAATAGAACTTTAAATCTTGGGTGCATTGGTGGCACAGAGGTAGGATTCTAGCCAATCACGTATGTGATTCAGGGTTCGATCCCCCACCACAGACGCACTCCTCTACCTCGCTGAGCCAGTAGTAAGACTGGTAAAGAGGGAAGATTGAGCATGAGGCTAACCAACCCATCCCGTAAAGGTAAATACCATTGCTACCGAAGCTGCAAGCCTCTTGCTTGAAACCATATGTTTCACTGGGAACTTAAAGGTATAAAAGATTTTAACTCGAGCAGGCAATGCATATTAGAGGACTGAATTCATCTCATATCGTAATCAGTAGATTTGATTACAACAGATATCTAATGTCAAAATGTAAACAACTGTTGATAATCAACAACCTCACCCTTACTTACCTAAATCGCATTTATCTTGAACCGGTTGTGATGAAGTGTTCTGTGTTTCATTTGTGATTACAGTTCCAGTATTCTTTTCTTCAATATTCTCTTTATCTTTTTCAGTAGAACTTGTCAGTGAAACATCTTCTTTGACTTCTGAACAGCTTGACGTCATAACTTCCTTTGTATTATTTATTAAACACTGATTTCCATCTTTAATTTCTACAGATTTTGTTGAGTCATTTTCTTGCTTCACAGGAATTGTACTTGAAGATGTTTGTCTATATTAATTAAAAGGAGAATACGAACGTTTGAAGGGAAAAATGTTGAGAGGACAACAAAAAAGTTATCAGTTTCCTGTTTTGTTTTAAGAAAAAAAGGATTTGTCTTTGGTTGTTAGTATAAATTATTGTCTGATCCCTGGCCAACAGCAGCAACAACAACAACAGACAACAATCAGCCAGCATAAATGGGAGGAACCTGAAAGAAACAACCTCCTTTACCTACCTGGGAAGCATAGTTTCAACTACAAGCGGACGGTACTGATGAGGATATCAAAGCAAGGATCGGGAAAGCAGGATAAGCTTTCATTACTCTCAAGTCTGTGTGGAGGTCAACAGCACTCATCATCAAAAATAACATCCGGATTTTCAACTCTAATGTGAAGTCAGTACTACTATACGGATCAGAGACTTGACCAGCGCGTCATAAAGAGCACATCAAACATTCTTCAGACTTTCATTAACAGCTGTCTTCGCTCAGTACCTTGCCAAGATCAGATGACCGGCCGGAAAAGATCAGCAATAGGGATCTCTGGCGATGAGCGAACCAACCAGGAACCGATTGTGAAACAAATAGGCAGGAAGAAATGGAGATGGATTGGCCATACTCTGAGAAAACGAGCTATCAAGTGACATCACTAGACAAGCCATTGCTCGAGTGGAACATGAAAGGGAAGCGGCGAGGTGGTCGTCAGTGCGAGGGTAACTTGGAGGAGGTCATGTGAAGAAGAGATGAAATCGTGTGGGCAGACTTGGAGCGGGGTGAAAAAGTTGGCAGAGAACCGAAGGCAATGGAGACGCGCGGCTGAAGCCCTATGTTCCTCTAGGAATTAAAGGATATAATAATAATTGTCTAACTGAGAAGATATGAGTTAAGTGATATAAATCTTGTTTATCAAAGAAAAGTAGTGCAACTTAAAGTTACATATATATATAATTGATGTTAGATGGTTGGAAGCAATTAGCAGGAAGCCATGGACTTAGGTTTCGTGCTAGTCGACACTTACCAGTCAGCGAAGCATATCTGCAACCCTGAAGAAACTCATGTTCCTTCTGAGATTCCAGCCCGCGTCACTCACTGCTGCAGTCAGAGACATTATCGCTGAGCTATTCGGGCTCGCGGTCGACCTCCTGTAAGACTGTATTGAATATTTTTCAGTAAACGCAAGTTAGTGACTAGTGTAGCCAGTCTAGTCCTTTGGTGAAGACTGAATTCTATCAGTCAATTTGCAAGTGTCGCCATCACAGTGCACTTTGAATTGTTGATTACAGAGGTTTGGCGGCAATCGGCAGTCAGTCTGCAGTAAATAAAGAACTAGACACACTACGCTAGTTATTAACTAGTGTCCTATATATATATATATATATATATATATATATATATACATTTATGTCTTTCACTTACGTTTTTCGTAGGTACTTGAAGGGCATTAATCACAAAGATACGCAAATGCATTTACAATAATCTACGCTCAGCGATACATTTAGTAATGCAAAAAAAAGCATTTTTGGAAACCAGATGGAAACAGGCAGATTTCAAGATATGAGCCATTAGAAGGAAAAAAGGTAGCATTTTAAGAGGCGTTCAGAAAGATAGTGATTTACTAAATAGAAGCGCTTACAAAGACAACAGATTACAGCCAGTAGCAAAAGACTGCTACAAAGTGAATAGTGTGTGAGGATATTCCACAAAGTAGTTATTTTCCCCTCTATCCTAGTCGTATACACATTCTACTTACACATCTGCAACGATAGGCTGTCTAGATTATATAAAGACTTTCACGAATTTGTCCTTGTTATTATGAAGATCACCTAGATCATTAATCGCTATTAATACTACAAACTTTAATTCTACTAACCACACTGGTCCAAATATATACGATAGTATATTATGTAACTGTACTCTTGATGACAAATCACTGAAAATACTTATTTGTTCAGAATGTGTTCTAATCATGGAGATTGATCCGTAATAAAATAAAGTTCAGTGGTTTAAAGTTGTATATCAAATAATCCCCTTCTTTCATTGTTAAAATCCGGCAATCAACAATCATGCATCCTCCGTGAAATTTGTTAAGAACTAGGTTTATTGAATGAATGAGTAAAAGTTTCTTTTCTTCATTGTCTAAATCTTAGCAAGTGCAAATGCATCGAAGACACACTTGATGACGAAAAAAGAAAGTTGACACAAACTCTGGTTGATAATAATTATCCAGACAGGTTCATCAGGAGATATAAAGTAGTCAGAACACCAAGACCCACTGTCCAACTCGCCGCTAAGAAAGACTTGTACGTCAAGCTACCCTAAATGGGAGATCATAACAGCTTGACAAGTAGATGAAGACTGAACACTGCTGTTAAAAAGACTTTTTATCGAGCTAATGCCATAACAATTGAGAATGTGAAGCCAGTATATCCAACTAAGCCATTTGAAAATGCGAAAAATAATGTCACATCCCACTGTATTTACCAATTTGAATGTACGTATGGACACATACATAAGGATCACTCGTCTATCTCTGCAAGTAAAGGCCTCAGAGCATGTTCCTAAGTGGCTTCAGAAGCAAATATAATCCCCAGACTAGTTAATTGTGAGAACGGGAGACCTAGCTCTTCTATTGCGAAATATATTTTGGAGACAGGACAAAAACTGATGTTCACACGTCTTTTAAACCAATCTATAAAACGTGTTTGGAGCGTATCCTAAAATCTCTTAAAGCCCCATCAGTTAGGAAGTTTAAACCACATTTATGCGTTCAAAAACAATTCATCATCACACTACACCCTCCTTCGTAAACTTTGTTTTGATACCAGGGTAGATGTATATTTACTTTTGTTATTTGGTTTAGGGATCTCCATTTGTCAAGCGTTGGTTTGTAAGGATTAGATTTGTTTTTATGAGTTTGACCACGGATTGATATCAGTTAGAGAAGCATTGAAAACCAGGGAGTACTGGACAGCTGTTTCATCAGCCTAATTTGACAATCGTCAGCCGTACACATCCACTGCCAGGGTTCGAACCTAAAACCTTCTGGTTACAAGGCGAGATCGTATACCATTCCAACAATGGGACCCGATTCGTTGGCTCATGAATTCTAACGTCTACGAATTCGTGATTTAGCGCGACCACCAACCAATGTCATCTCCGTTATTATTGTGACCTCGAATATGTCCTTTTAACTTGACCTAAGTTAATTTTCTCACCTCTTAACTCTGTTAATTTCATATACATTCCTATGACAAGTCCGTATGTGATCAGATTGTTCGAAAAGTGTTGCGCAAATACAATATTACACGATTCAGACAAATTACGTCTTCTTATTGCATTGTCTGAATTCACACAAGGGAACTAACTGTTTTAAATTTACAAATCAGAAACGCTATCATACTACATGAAAAAATCATTTCTTTCATTAGGAGAACCCTATCAAAATTTTGGACAACTCGTAGGGTGCTCAACTCTTGGTGGAAGTAGATCCTATGACACGAAAAGGGATGGTGAAGTTATTTTTCCATTTTATATAAGAAACAAAGAACTTTCCTCACTGGATAGATCATTCAGTGAAACAGTAAGTGATGCTGTATTTTTATGGATCCATTGTGTTTGCTGTAACAGATTTTTCATTGTCTGAGTGTTGTAATTAAGATTTTTCAATGATTCTTGTCCTCGATAAATGCACACTAATACCCTTTAAAATGTCTATTTATAAAAAACCATCATTCTAACAAATGACAGAACAAAGGTAAGAAATAGTTATATTTGGCAGGTTCGATGAGAGAATGACTTCAATTTTATGAAGCTTTATATATATATATATATATATATATATATATGCTATAGAGCTAAATTAAAAAGCCAATAAAATGCGATAGAATTAAGTGAAAAACTACGGTGCCATACTTTTGTAACCTAGGGAACTCAGGCAACTGATTAACTTTCATTAGTATTCCAGTGTAAGGAAATTGTGCATACTACTTTTAAGTGTTAGTTTGCAGGAATTTCAAGTTTCATCGCAAACTGACTTAAGCTGTAGAACCACTGGAATCTAGGGTGTACCTAGCGAATGTTTCGTCCTTGTTCGGGACTCGTCTTCAGCACGCACACATGACCCTAGAGAAGATGGAACTAAGGACTCTAAGGCTATAATGCAAGTTTGTTGAACATTCAGCTACTGGGATGGAATCGGAGGGTCTGCCAGTTTGTTATATGTAGCGCCACCTCCAGCCAGTGTCGCCAAGAGTATCTATCCTGACATGCGTTTTGGTGGGCTTAGCTGATTACAACTTCTTACCAAAACTCTAGACACTCTCATCCTTTAGTCAGTCACTAAGGAGCACCAGTTTACTTTCCAAGTGTTGGCTTACAGGGATTCGATTGATTTCAAGTTTGAAAAATAAGTGTAAATACGTGTCTGAAAAATCTCACGCAATTAGTGTGAAATAAAATTAACAGTAAATGTATGCAGTAAGTTATAGCTGTCAAGGTTGATTCACGTACTTATTCTAAAACGATAGTCACAATGAATGTCTATCAATAGTTACATCCATGAATCTATCAGGCTATGATAAATCCTCTGCTGAAATGCTAGAATAACTTAGTTAATTGAAAGTCATTTACATTATAACTTTACTGAAATTCGAAAATTTATTCCTATGATTTGTAAAACACTACCTGCTTTCAGTATTTAATTTAATTTATGATATTACAAAACAGCTTAAACCATCACTGAGGTCGAACGGAATCATAATAATAAACCATCAATACCTCAGTGCACACAAGCAGACATGCCTACACATGATTTGTCAGATACTTCTTCTATCTTCATCTAGCAGGTTGTTGGTTGAAGTGCTTTCAGCAAACATGATGTAATTAGATAATCTAAACATCTTAAACTTAAAACTTAGACAAAATCTCAACAATATAATTAGAAACAGATACTGTGAAACAAAAGTCAGCTTTCAAAATCTCATCCTGGAAACCAGCATAGTATACCTGCCTA